AAATTATTCATTGTCACTTCTTTTTCTCCTTCTAATAAAATGGCTTATGGTGTTGGTCTTCAGAATTTGCCCATGTTCAAAGATGGGTGATGTCAGTTAAAACACTGCTTTTGTAGTTTGGGAACACTGTATTTTGGTTGTAGACTTCTACATAAAAGTCCTTTTTACTATAAATTAACTTACACATTAATAACTGTTTTAAGTTAAAATGAAGCTTTTGTTTAAAAATAACATCGCATTTTAATAATTTTAAATATCTGTCAAAACGTCTTAATAGAATTCTTGAAACCAATAATTAAAAAAACACAGAAAAATTTCCCTTCATTTCTACTAATCTCTTTCCTCCCAGACAACAGTGACAAGTCAACTGGCTAATACCATGAAAAGGGGTTGTGAAAACAAAATACAGCACACATTTGTTATACAATTTTTGGTGAATAAACAGTGGGTATGAGCCCTAGAGCCTGCCATTGCTTATTTTTTATTGAACTCACTTCATCCATATCAAACATTTAAATTTTTTTTTTTCAAACATTTAATCTCAGACAAACATAACTCGGCTGAATTGAACTAATCTAGGAAATGTTGTTGCCTTTGATCAGCCATTCCTCCGTAGTCATGGCAAGCAGCTTGCAGAACAAGGTAATTCCATTTCAGTGTATTTAGATAATTAAATATTTTTTTTCCTGTTTCAGAACATAAAAACCATCCACAAAACCCCATCAAAACCAAAGCTTTAAAATGCTGCTGTTGGTTGCGCTCACAAGTGAAGATTACTCCAGTTTTATTAAGTATTAATTTCTGTGTTAAATACATTTCCTGGACTTAGAGAATCAGATAGGATTATAGGTCAAATATTAGTACTATATGCATATGTTAGTCTCTACAAAATAATCTTAGGTGTATGCTTCGTAAACTGTGTTGTGCTAAAATGTCAAATACAAACTTGGCCTCTTGTCTACTACATTGATTTTGAGTAAACTTTGTCTGTTAAAGAGTATTGCTCATTTTTAATGTGACAGCTATAAGCCTCACCAAGGGATCAGCCTCATTATGCCAGAAATGACCAAATATAGTCTACAAACGACACTATGAAGGAGTGTAATTTGACAAGAAAATACAGGGCATAAAGAAGTAAATAGGAAAAAGGTCACACACAGGGTGACTAATATGTATATGCAAAAATGAGAAGCCTCTGTACATCTTTCTCTTTATTTACTTGGTCGTTGATAGTCAATGGGATGCAATGAAAGTGCAGAGCCTAGCTTACACAGAAGCTGCTTGCGAAAATACGTAGCAGCTGCAGAAGATTCATATGAGCTGAGGCTAGGTAGGAGACTTCTCCTGCAAAGGGTGATGTACTGTCGAAACCATTAAAATTAGTTGTTAGACCAATGAGTGGACAACATCAAATAATCCTTTAAGCTTGTTATCATTATATGATAATGTGTTTCAGGTTCAGTTCTAACATATTTTTATGCCTAGTAAAATGTTGTAGCTACAGAATTCAAAACTGATCTGTATTTTGCATTGTGTTTATACGTGAAAGAAGCAGTCATCAACTAGCAGTCATTGTGCTGAATTTCCAGACGAGAAATGTTCTTTTCTTCTTATGTGAACCAATAGATTCAGCTACAGCCTGGAGCTTCACATTTCATTTTCCTTGTAAATGATTGCTGCTTTAAACCATTGGTTATGGTTTATTTATAGAATAATACATAGTTCACAACTAAATGCCAAGCTATAATTGAATCAAAGGATTCTGCTGATGCCTTGACTCACAAGGGTGCAGCTCAAGAGCTTTATAAAGGGCAGCAGAATCTGAGCCTAAATTGCAGCCCCCAGTATTCAGTCTGGGATCATGCATTATAATGCGTAATAGGGCTAAAAGGATTATTATAATACTGCAGTAAATAAAAAGAAAATGTATCAAACAGCGGAATTCAGAATGCTTGCAGAGGCTTTCAGTTTATGATGTGGGAGGCTAGAGATTATACCGCAGGAGAAATAAGGCTAGAGGAGAAGTATTTCATAAACACATTTATGTTCTTAAAAAAGTATTCTGAAGTTATTCTTAAATAAAAGGAAAATATATGTTTCATAGATTAATCCACAGTAAATTCATAGTGTTCTGCTACATGGCTATAACTGGCTGATTCCAAATGCCACATAGATGTTTTCTGGCATAATAGGGCAATAATTATGCTATAGAAGGAAAATATTAATTCACATATCTTTGATGATTTTTGAATAAGTTTACAAACATTAAAAAGTTAAATTTAGTCAACCAGTGTGAGAATAATACAAGAAACTTGTATTTTTTCTAGTACAAAAAATACCATATCACAAAAATTGTTCACAGATCCAATTCACAAAGACAACATTCTTTTATTTGTGAAAGAAACCTGACTGATAAAGCATACATTTTTAGGCTAAAATGAAGATTATTTTTGACACAGATACTTTGTTTTGTTTTAGAATGTGTTTTCTTAAAAATGAGTAATGATAAACCCTTTACACTTTTTCCCATACTGTCTGCTAATCTGTGGTGTATCTGTTGGGCTCTAAGCAAGGACACCAATCAGTATTTTGTTATGTAGACATTTTATCCATCAGAGGCTTACCCTGGTTCCTCACACCAGGCTGTAATTATTCCAGCAAATCCCTAATGTGGCCACGGTAACTTTGCACAACGGGTGATGCTGTGGAAGATAATCGTATGCCTTCCAAAGTGTTTCTGCATTTTCTTCTGACCCTCTCCAGTGTAAGAAATAAAATAGCGGACTATAAAGGCATTGGTCAGACCTCAGGATGGAATTTCTCTGTGGATTTAGGGTACAGTTCTTTACAGATCTTACTGGAATTGCAAGTATTCAAGAGACAATTAGATACTTTGAACTTTGTCGGATGTATGTTTACAGAACAGCTACTTGGGAAAGAGTGGGAAAAGGTTGGTAGCTTGTTTTCTGATAACTATCAATCTAGGATCTACGTGGGAAATCACAGATGTGCAAAGTCTTACTTACCATGTAGAGGAATGTAATGATTTTTAATATGAAGTTCAGCAAAGTCTGCTTTACACTGGCATTTTTTTCCTACAAAGCATTTAATACTGAATTGAATTCCAATTCTGAATAATACATAATATAGTCATTATAACTTTTCTTGGGTTCCCATTCTCAAAGGCCAACTGAAGTCACAGGACATTATTTCCAAAACTACCTTTTCAATAAGTTGTAGGAAATATTTAAGAAAAATTAGAAGTCATGCAATAAAATCACAGTGTTGATACAGAGAAAAATGCCTGATGAATCCACAGATTAAATATTTGTACAAAGCACCACAGAGATGCACAATACTAAACCAAGATATTATAAGTACAACCACTGCTTCAGGGATCATGGGGGACTGAGGAAAGGTAACAGTCTTTCTGTTGTTTGTTTGGTTTTTTTTTTCTTTTTTCATTTTCATTGGAGTATTACTTTTTTCCTCTGGCAATATCACAAAGAGAAGGAACAAAGAAATACATTCTAGGTGAAAAATCTGTTAATAAATGTAGGAAACATACTAGATTGGGCCAGGTAGGGATTTATGGAGGGGAAGCAAGAAAGGTTACAGGAAGCTGTAGCCCCTGCAATAAAAATACCCATAGAAAGGACAAGGGTGAGGGAGGATGTTATTTACTATTAAAAGAGGAATAGATTGTCCTTACTGATATCTTGGCAACTTTAGGAAACAGTAACAAACACTTCATATTTAGAGAGGTGGTAAGTAAAGATGAGAGACTGTGGGAAGAGTTGGCTTTTGGAGAAACTCAGAAATAAGATGAGGCATGTGGTATATAAATATTTGAGGCTCTGAATTAGGAAAATATTGTGCTTTAATTACACAGGACAGATACTTGCATCAATAGAAAATGTTATCAAAGTAGGCCTTTGATGCAGTATATTGGCCAAAAATATTCCTGTCTGCATTGTAATGCAAGGAGTGTGAATTGCAGGGGATTATCTGTCACAGACGTGAATGCTGGTTTTGTTTGTTGTTGCTTATTTGGATAGTCTGTAAAGTATCTGGGAACATCTGGTAGAAAATACAAAATACAAACACAAAAGACAAAAAATATCTAAAGAGCTCCATTCCCAGTTAGATATGTACATTAAACAACCGGTTTTCAAAAAATGCTGTAACCTGGCAAGTCCCACTGAGAAAAATTTGAGAATCTATCAATTTCTCCAAAGTGCCTAATAGAAATCTGAGAGCCTTTGATACCGTTGCACAAGTTTTTTTTTAATATCATATCATTTTAAGGATTGAAGATGAAAGGACTCTCATACCAGTAATCTTTCATGCGTTTCTGCAATACATGGATTGCCAACCAAACCAGTGACCCAATTTAAAATCGTTTTCATGAGTTTGCACAGGTTTACCCATGAAGAATCTATGCCAAAATCTTTTTATGTCAAGCTGATCACTGAAACAAGACACTGATGAAACAGTATGGTGAACATACCATTGAAGTACTCTGTCACTCTTACAGAGATAGTAACAGTTCAAGGAAATAAACCACATGCAGACCAAATTTGTTAAACTTCTTCATCATGGTTTCATGAAGTATTAATCCAAATTAATCCAGATTTCTCTCTCTCAGTTTGTCAGATTAATCCAAAGCAATTTTTTACCACTATCACTCAGCTGTCTCTGTCCCATGGATACGCTGAAGGACTGGGTAGCTTTCTCCTTGACTGTTAGATTAAAAATAATTCTTATCTATATTCATATAACTAACATTTTTTTCAGTGTGAATAAAACTTAGTGATTCAAATATTTGCAAAAAGCAAAGACGTATGAATAATTGAGCAAGCTAAACCAAAATTACTTTAACGTAGGCAAATGCAGAGGATTTCTTGGGATGTTTACCTTGCTGCTGAATAAACTATCCTCACATTGTTTGTGTTATGCTGGGCAGGGCTGTAGAGCATTTCTCCACTGGCTGAACTTACCTCCCCTTCTGTGGACTGTAAGTGCAGTTCTTTCCTACAGGTAGCCTTTAAGTCTCCTGCAGCTGCATTGACTTGCACTCCCCTGGGTGCTTCCATCACCAAAGATCTAGTAGGAGATTCAAGTCTGAAAGACAGAAACAGTCACTGAGAAAAAATGCACTGAATCAAACCACCAAAAAACCACCCAGCCCCAAAACTCACAATGCATGTAGATATAAATGTATTTTGAAAGGTAAAGAAGTAAAAATGAGTTATATGTGTGATTCTCTCACTACTCTTTACGGCCCGGAGAAAGAAAAAAGTTAAGTATGTGTTTAAATCTATTCCTGCTTAAGACAGCATTTAAGCATATGCTGATATGAGCTTGTCTGCTTAGTGATGCTTTCTGGCATTAGTACCTAATTTACTTGACTGTACTAAGACTGAAATATAGGTACTTAAGAATCCACATCTCCGTGAGTGCTTCTGTAATGACAGGTTAAGAGCTAAAGTCTGCTTAGTGACTGATGACAAATGTTAAATGAAATAAGAAGAAAACAAAACACTTAAAAAGTTTTAAATAGTGATGTAAAACTGATTAGAATGACTTTGCCTTTACAGGCTCATTCATATTTTGGGTAGGTGTAGCAGCATTAGGTATGAAGAAGAGAGAAGAAGATAATCTGCTATGTCTCTATTATTGTGGGTTTTTTGAACACTTTGTTCTGCAAAATACTCATTATGCTCTTTAACCCTGTTATAATAGGGTTAAGACGTGTATCACTGGGTCTTGGTATCTTTCCTTAAAGCAACTATTTTTCTTCTACTGTCAGTCTTTCCATTTCTCTCTACCCTATACTCAAGATCCTACATCAACCTTAATGCAGAACTATGATACCTTCTTAGCTCTGTTATCTCACAGCATTGTACAGGTTTCTCTTGAAAGGGAAGTACTAATGCAAGGATTTCATAAAAGTCATGCTCACACACTGAATAGGAAAGATGATAGGATGAAAACTGTATTGAACTAAGAAACAAAAATTTGGAATCGGGTTGTGTTCAGCTGTAGACTTATTACATAGCCCTGTTAAGAGGGAGACAAATCTTTTAATCTGTTTATATCCCAATAATATAATGACAGACACAGTTCCACTTTACCTGAACAAAGGCTTTTTGTAAGATGAAATACATTAATGACAGAAATGTCTAGAATGAGTAGCTTGAAGAAAACATTGTATTTCCCTCTTCAACAAATTGTATTTTGAGTGTTTGGTCACATCCATCCAAAAATATAATGTGGTACTAGATGTATAAAGGAAAGAATAGTTTGACAAAGAATTTGCTACAGAAAAGCCGAATGAAAGATCTGTCAAGCAATGGAACAAGAAAATTTCAGTGTATTTCAACTATTGAATTTTTAAAGTGTGCAGAATAGTGACGGATTATCATTTTGAAACCAAAATGCCACATTTGCATGCAAAGTAAGTCACTGAGATGGTGTTTGTGAAATATTTCTGCTTGTTACATGTCACTGACACTCAACAGGGAAAGGAAAAAAAAAAAAAAAAAGAAGAAAAGCAATTATTTGGCAACACAAAATGAAACTATTAAAAGCATGTGTCCACATAGAGGAAAACATTATTTGCAGCTCCCTATATAAAAAAAGCATACATGGGATACATATAGTTAGGAGCAGTACAAAAATCTATATTTCTGTTAGTGCTAAGCGATTTTCTTTCATTATTTTGACACTCTATAGGGAGAAGTTAATAGAAGGTTCTGTGGTTCTTTGTACTAGGGAAGAATCTAAATACCATGAATTATTTAATCATGTACATCAGTGTTTTTCAGGTGCTGGTTTGTGAACTTCTGATGGCTATAAAACAGCAGAAAAAAGAGCTTCCAAAACCTTTTAGAAACTTTATAAACTGAGAAGTTTAGAAATTAGGTTTTTGAAAGTATTCTGTTGCTTTAATGAGGTTTTACCTTGAATTTAAAAGGAAACTGAATTGTATAAAAGTTAAATGATGGGATACTTCCATTCCATATTTTCCAGCAGTATATTTTTGTGATTTATCACCTACTTTGCAGGAATAGTAACATTTCTCAGTGGTTTCAGTTGCCATTTCATAACCATGAAGACAAAAGTGCTCTGAACTACATTTATTGCATTGAATTGATGGGTATTAGCAAAGTCACAAATATTTCTGATTTCATAACATCAAAACAACTCTCAAACCTGACTGAAATTTTTCAGCAAGTGGACAATAAAAACCTATTTAGGAACATCTTTCAAGAAGCTATGAGTTTGTTTGAAGAATAAACTTTTCTTCCAAAACACATGACAAGCTGTAGCTCTGAGTTGTTTTGTCTAGTTTCATCACTGGTTTTCATGAACTACGTTAACATAAATGACTTCCAGTTTCTCTAAAATGAAGATATTTGGGCAATTTATTTCTGAACTTGAGAAGACGTTAATATCAGCCTTCTACACACTGTGGAGAAGAAATTTCTTTTTAATAAAATAGACTTTTTTTGCAGTTTCCTGAAATCGAATAATGTGGTAGAAATGTCAATGAATGGCTGATGATCAGCAGTGTAGTTTTTAAAACACCACCCATCTGTTAGTAAAACTGAATGCCTAAATCTGTTTTCACGGTTACTAATTTACTTTTATAATTATTATTCTTTGGATGATCTACATCTGAAAAGTGACTTAGCTGTGCAATCTGCAGCATGCTACTGGAAATGCAAAAGTCTATACACATAGATTAATTCCTCAATGTTTTGAGATAAATTATGTGATATGCAGCTGCTTTATAGTATTTTTTCTTTGTCATATTTCTGAAAGATTTAATCTCTACCATAAACTTATTGTAACACTCCACATTGTAATACTCATCCCTCCAAGCAAAAGTGCATCATTACAATAGCATATCAAGAATTTGCTTTCCTTTCAGATTTACTGATGGCCTGTTACAGTGGTATTTACATGTGAGTGAATCCTAGTCATATAATTTAATTCTTATTTCCCAAACAACAAACAGTTATGATGGAGAAGGTAACTACTGCTATTATTAGAAACTACAACACTAGGAAAGTCAAAGAGGCCTTTAAAAAGGTTTTTTTAAGTAATATAATCTGTCAATTCAATATATGTGATACAGACAGATGAGCTATCCGGAGCAGAGAAGGCCTTTTTTCTTTTTAATTACCAATGGTTAATTTGTGAAAAAAGATAAATTTCAGAGGATCAAAGCTATATGAATTTGAGTTGAATTCATTAAAGAATTATTGCTAAAAAAGGAAACTTTTCAAATAGCTTGAATATGTTCCTTTGAAGGTATTAAAATATTTCTCATCAGAAATGCAGAAACATTTATTTTTCATTTGGTATTTTCTGTTTACAAGCTGACCTAGATTGTATTAGAGAAAAATAATTTAAGAAATGAAGTTTCACTTTGGGTTTTAAGAAATATTTTAAATTTACCTCTTGCATATCCCTCATACTCACATGGGATATAATTTATCTGTGTTAATTTTGTTCTGTTGGCTAGCAGAAGGTATTTCTTAAAATAGAAGGAAATAGAAGATTCCCTTGTGCAGATGTGAATAATTTATTTGCTTCATGTCTATTTAAGCAGTGTATCCAACCCATGCTACTTAGTAGAATGACTGATATGAGCCTCTACCAATTTGGAGTTTGTATTCAAAACAGGGGATTAAAAAATATGCTCACACTCACACTCTTCCCCTGCTCCAACGTGCGGTTCCACTCACAGGAGACAGTTCCCCATGAACTTCTCCAACATGGGTCATTCCCACAGGCTACAGCTCTTCATGAACTGCTCCAGTGTGGGTCCTTTCCACAGGGTGCAATCCTTCAGGAACAGACTGCTGCAGCGGGGTCCCCCATGGGGTCACAAGTCCTGCCAGCAAACCTGCTCCAACATGGGCTCCTCTCTCTCCATGGGGCCACAGGTCCTGCCAGGAGCCTGCTCCAGTGCAGGCATCTCATGGGGTCACAGCCTCCTGCTCCGGCGTGGGGTCCTCCATGGGCTGCAGGTGGATCTCTGCTCCACCGTGGACCTCCATGGGCTGCAGGGGCACCGCTGCCTCACCATGGTCTTCACCACGGGCTGCAGGTGGATATCTGCTCCGGCGCCTGGAGCACCTCCTGCCCCTCCTGCTTCACTGACCTTGGTGTCTGCAGGTTTGTTCCTCTCACATACTCTCACTCCTTGCTCCATCTGCAGGTTGTGTCCCCAGTTGTTTTTTTTTTTTTTTCCCCTTCTTAAATATGTTATCACAGGGGTGCTACCACTGTTGCTGATTGGCTCAGCATTGGCCAGCAGCAGGTCTGTCTTGGAGCCGGCTGGCATTGGCTTTATTGGACACAGGGAAAGCTTCTAGCAGCTTCTCACATAAGCCACCCCCATAGGCCCCCCACTACCAAAACCTTGCCATGCAAACCCAATACACCAACATATGTTGTTGTGGCTTTTTTCAGCTAGCATTGGAATCCTGTTATTAAAACAAAAAGTTTTGCAAATATAAAACCAATGGAAAATCTACACATTGACTTGGTAAACTTTTTGTAGATTTCTATAGATTAAAATAACTGTGACATCGATCTTGCTGCCTGTAGGTAAAGAGTTGTAGCAGTCTGGGGCTGCACAGAGGTAAGATACACAAAGAGAAGGGAAGGGAAATCGATGTGCCAAGCCTCCCTTGATCCCTCTTCCAACTTTTTCCTTGTAAACAAGCACTCCGAAACCCGAAACCCCAGCGAATGCAGGGCCTTCCTCTTCCACAAGTGAAACCATTTCGTTCCAGATAAGAAATAAGAATTAAAAAAAAAAAAAAAAAGAAAATGTTATTTTCCAGAAACCTCAATTTTAAATATATATTCTTTCCATTTCTATTATTATGAAAAGAACAGCTGGCTGCCGTGATGCTCAAGGAAACTGATTTCAAGTGTTCTCCAGTGAGACCAAGAGTCCTTAAAGGAGTCTACTGAACACTGATGGTGCTAGATAAAATTAAGGTTTCCATTCAGTCCATTTCCTGGAAGTCAGGCTGCAATTTCCAGTAGTATCCATAAAGAATAACCAGGGACTTTTATGATCATGGTGAGAAAAACCT